AATACTTGTAATATACAGCTGACCCTTGACCAACATGGGTTTGAATGGTGCAGGTCTACTCTACTTACACATGGACTTTTTTGAAACTGTATTTTAGTGTATTTTCTCTTATTTTTTCTCAATAACATTTTTTTTTAGCTTTATTGTGAGAATACAGTATATGATACAGGTAATATAAAAAACCTGTGTTAATGAACTATTTATGTTATCAGTAAGGCTTCCAGTCACTAGTAGGCTATTAGTAGTTTAGTTTTTTAGATTCCATGCAGAAGTGAAATCATATGGTATATGCCTTTCTCTGCGTTATTTCACTTAGCATAATACTAGGTCTACCAATGTTGTCACAAATGGCAAGATCCCATTCTTTTTTATAGCTGAATGAATATTTCATTGTATATGTATCACACATCTTCTTTATCTGTTCATCTATTGATGAGGTTGTTTCCCTACTTTGGTTATTGTAAATAATGTTTCAAAAAACATAGGGGTGCATATAACTTTTCAAATTAGTGTTTTCATTTTCTTTGGGTAAATACCCAGTAGTGGAATTACTGAATGGTACTGCATTTCTATTTTTAATTTTTTGAAGAATCATAACACTTTTTGACAATAACATTATATTCAGGCCTTATAAAATTAATAATCTGACAACATTACTAGACAGCCTTGTAAGATTAATAACTCAATACCACTTGATGGGAGAAACTTTTATTGAAGCAATTTTATAAAGCATTAATAAATACTATGTAAAATATAAAACACTTTTTTATATGACATGACTTAAGGAATTACCAATGTGATGTTATTGTCTTTTCCCCAAAAGCTTTTCCTAAATATTTACTTCTGTGACTTTTATTTCCAGGTGAGAACTGTGTTTAGATGGTAGAAATAGCTAGAAGTCCACTAATAAGGAGAACGCATTTGCAATTTTATTTATACTTTTCCATTTATCAAAAAAATAGGAGGGTAAGAAAATTACACACAGGAAAAAAACTTGCAATATATCAGCAAATTTTAATTCAAAGAATTATTAACGAAGGATTTTCTCATAAATGTTAGTTTTCAAACTATTGCTCATAGAAATCTAAGTCTCCACTGAGACACAGCAGGATTGAGGGACAAGAAGTCTACAGGTGTAGTCTTATCTCTCCTTTAGTTAAACAGCTCTACTTGTCTCTGTTTTATATAATACAGTTTAATGCAAAAAAAAAAAAAAAAAAAGATAAGTCCTATTCTCTGGAAAAAGCAGTTTTTCCCCAGAGGTATAAAAGTCACTAACTTAATCAAAGTCCCTAAGTTTACATAAGAGACAAAAAGGCCTCAGAGAGATTGTAGTTTGCCTGAGGTCAAAAAACCACCTAGTTGCAGGCCAGGAATGTGTTTTAGTTACTTCCTCATATTCAGGAAAAATACATGCATTTTTAACTAGAACTCAGAGAAAATGAATACATAAAACTTCGTCATGTGGCTCAATAAAGTTAAGGCATTAGGCAGAAAACAGCTTTCTAACTAAACTATACATTTTTACAGTCATGAACAAAAATAAAGGAAGAGAAGTTATCTTAACTCCTCTTAGTAACAGTCAATATACTCAATTTATAAGCACAAATTTTTTTAACTTGAAGGGACAGGGAACTTGAAGGAGAAAATCTTTAGTTGAACCAAAGAACCTGAAACTAGGAAATTCTTTCTTGAAAGAATTATTCATTTCCTTCAAATAAAACTTGGTTTATCAAAGACAATCAACAAATGAGTTACCTATGTTGTGAGTTATTAATCGCAAAATTTAAAACACTGAACAGATTTCTCTTTGCCATCTAGCCTTTCCATTAGCTCACATGTACAAAAGACACGATTAACTTTAATTATACATTAAATCCACTCAGAAATTATAGGTAAACCTTCATTTCCATGTGAGAACATTTCTCTACCTTCTTCATGACTGGAAAGGAGATTCACCTAATGGGTGAATTTGGGAGAAGGCACTAAGCAGTGCCTACGTGCTTCCAAATCTCTTCCTTGAAAAGCTATGCCTGCCATAGTAACATGAATTGAGGTCTGCTTTCATCTTTGTGGGATGGGCATCAAACATCTCTTCCTTCCATTTACAACTGTGTGTGGAAGTGCCTAATTTGGAGTAAAGTATTAGGAAGTTCGCTGTGGCTACATACCTAAACCACATCCTCCAATTTGTTAGTATGTATTAAAGTCACTAAGCTTATCTCCAGCTGCCTGACTCCTGTGTTCTCAAATCAGAAAAAGAAGAGCAATGTCATCTGCCACCTACTCCACCACAGTTCCAACAAGAAAAATAATCAGACAATACTTAGAAATGGTTTCTTCTTCCTTGACTTTATACCTAACATTCATTGTTCAAAGTAACATACTTTAAAGAGGGAAAAAATTGAAAAGAACAATTTCAGAAATAAACACAGAAAGTCTAGGAGGAGATAGAGGAATATGTTCCAAATGAAAGAACAATACAACACTTCAGAAAAATAACTAAATGAAACAGAGATAAGTAATCTACCTGATAAAGAGTTCAAAGTAATGGTCATAAAAATGCTCAGCAAACTTGGGAGAAGAATGGACGGATTCAGTGAGAACTTCAACAAAAGGAAAATATAAAGAAGAACCAATCAGAGCTGAAAAATATAATAACTGAAATGAAAAATACACCAGAGAGAATCAACAGCAGATTAAAAGCTGCAGATGAACAGATCAGTGATCTACAGGACAGGGCAGCAGAAGTCATCCAAGCCAAAAAACAAAAAGATAAAAGAA